TATTGAATTTTCAAATGTTTGGAAACGTTTTTAGAGGTTCTGTTCATTAGCTTAAAAATATATAAACGTGGCTTATTTAGAAAATAATAATTAAAATAAACGATTCCAAATATTTATTTAACGTTGGATTATGTCTAAACGTGTCAAGAAAATGATTTCGTACATTTTAGTGCAAATACTGAAAACAAAAAGGACAATCGGATCATTGATAATGAGGTTGGACGTGTGAATTAACACTAAAATCACTATGCTGTTGGTTGCCGTTTTCATTTTACTGGCTCAAATTTGTAAGTATGGTAAAATTATTTACAACTACATATTAACAGGGGCGTAGCGAGGGGGGGGGCGGGGGGTGCGGACCGCACCGGGTGACACCATTTAGGGGGGTGACACCAAGGCAAAAAATAGCAAAATATATAGAGAAAAACTCGAGGGGGGTGCAAATCGAAAGTTTGAGGGGGGGGGGGGGGGGGTGCAAATCGAAAACTTGAAGGGGGGGGGGTGCAAATCGAAAGTTTAAGGGGGGGTGCAAATCGAAAATTTGAAAGTTTGTCCCTGGGAAGGGTCTCTATGCCTCTGGGGGGGTGACACCATTAAGTGCCGCACCGGGTGACACCCGACCTCGCTACGCCACTGCATATTAATATATGTAGGGCATATATATATATATATATATATATATATATATATATATATATATATATATATATATATATATATATATATATATATATATATATATATATATATAATTTTGCAGGTATATATTTAAACTTTCAATTTGAGGATTGTAAATCAACACACGTGATCTTGCATGTGTCTACTGTAAACCCTCTACAAAAAGTTAGGTTACAGACACTAGCTAAGTTGTTTTTGCCCGAAGACGATAGCGATTTTCCAATAAGCAGAATAGCCATCTTTTTAAATCCAAAAGTTCCGTCACCGCTGATTCATTTTGACGACTACAACTCCCCAAGTCAACTGCTCAACGGAATTGAAAGACTGGACGTTTTTGATGAACCTACAGCGATGGTGATAGAGGATATACACGTAAAATCCATGCGTTACTTTGAGGATTATGGTCTGGATCACACAGTTTCCTCGCGTGTAGTAGTAATTATTTGTGAAATTTGTATCTGGGAGCTTGACGTTGAAAGGAAGTACAAGAAAGATATTAATGTTTCAAAGTATGGCAAGTTTAAAACTTACTTAATATCAGTTACAGAATCGGAAAGTCGACAGCAAAACTATAAGAAATTTAAAAATATCGCGTTTATTTCACCCGCCGATGACTTGACTAGTAATCAATTTATTTCTATGACCATCTGCGGGCAGTGTACTGCCGGTTGGTTTTCGTTTAACAACATCGAGAGCTCACACAAATCGTGTTATACGTTTAAGTTGGTTGAGGTACTACTAGACTACTACACATCATCAGTCTACTGCAGATCTATGCAGGCAGAACTTGTTCTAATCGACACGTATGAAGAAGCAACAAACCTACTAACTGAGCTGAGGCGAATGTTAAATCTCACCTTACCTGAAGATGATCCAATCATTTTTAACACCAGGTCTTGCAGTAGTTATAAAGAAGGCATACAGTACTCTCATTGGGAAAATAAAAATACAATCCTGTTCGGTTTTTCGAAGATTAAAAACAACGAAGTTGAACAATGCTTAGTTCTGGAATTGCATTCAAATATAATAGAAGACGTTGATTCTTCGTTGTATGTTTATAAAAGCACAAATATTTCTAACCTGATTTTATGTGAATTTGAAGTAAACTTCAACCTATTAAAAGATAGTGACATTGGTGGTGTGACTAGAATTCATAAAGAAACCAATTTAATTAAGAATAAGACGGAGATTTTATACAAGCTGGAGAAGAATGTTACTAGAGGTACTGAAGAAACTAATACCGTTAAGGATAAGACAGAGATGGTAAAGAATGTTACTAGTGGTACTGGAGAAACTAATGCCGTTAAGGGTAAGACAGAGATTGTATACGAGCTGGAGAAAAAAGTTAAGATGTTTGAATGCGACTCTACCCAGCACGTGCCGTACTCACTCCGCTGCGACGGCGTGGTCGACTGCACCAACGCCAACGACGAGCCCAAACAAATCTTCAGCAACATGTGTTTCGACAGGTTTGTCTGCGACAATAACAAATACGACGAGATCTGCAACGCGGATTGTATCACTAAGGTTAAAAAATGCGCGGGTTCTGTTCAGTGCCGTGAAAATATTGAAGAAGAGAATTGTAACAGCTGTATGGAGACTTTATTCTTTGATGGGAGTTGTCTGCCCACTCAGTGGTTTTATAACGACGTGAACTATCACTTCAATATACTACGCAGAGATAAGGCTATCTCTTATATTAAGATAAAACAAGTTGAAGAGATACTATCTTTATGTAATGGGACGGAATGTCAACTGGGAAATGAAAGAAGAATAACAAAATGTGGGATAAGAAACGTGGAGCTTGGTGTTGAAGATGAGATTATCACATACAACAAATCCCGTAAGGTGGTAAAGTTGTGGGCGGCTAGGTGTGTTCATCTGAGAGACAGGATTACTAAGCAAAGTTTGGGATGCATGGAAGGTTCACATTTAGAGAATTGTGAACAATTCATTTGTGCTGATGGGTTTTTTAAATGCCCCATGTCGTACTGTATCCCGTATTATATGGTAAATGATGGAGTCGTTGATTGTCACTTAGGTTATGACGAAACTCCCGTAAGCTACCAAACTATTTTTTCACCTCATTTATTCCAATGTCGGCAGTCCACAACTCTACTCCACCCTGCCAATGTGTGTGACGGTGTTGACCACTGTCCGACAGGGGATGATGAGCGACACTGTTACGATAAATGTCCTACAGGATTCCAGTGCCATTTTGGAGTGACAGCAGTTAAAAATTACACCAACGTGGACAAAGAACATCTGTTTGAAATGGTAGATCGCAGAACAAAAGTTCTAGATTTATCTGGCATAGATCTTAGATCTATTCTCTTTCAAATTCTGGAGATCTCCACCAAGTTAATGGAACTCATTATATCTAATTGTAGCTTAAATGACACAACGTTAATTAATCTTTTAAATCATCTTGATTTCCATTCAAATTTGAAACACCTTTATTTTATCGACCTGAGCTTTAACAATATTTACACACCATCCATCATCAATAACTATGTAGTGTTAGATATCACACATTATAATTTCTCCCATACATCAATAGAAACCTTCACATTATCCATCAAACGTACTGAAGTAATAGACCTCTCTTTCTCAGACCTAAGCCTATTTACTTGTGAGTTTAATGTCTTTGATTTCGAAGGTTTATTTTTAATTGACAAAAACAACATTGAGGTTGAATATTTGAACCTGAGTCATACAAAAATAAACAACATTTCTTGGACGGAGGATTTAAAACACTTGGGCACGTTAGATATTAGAAACACGGAAATTGTTTATGATTTGACAACGGCAGAACAGTTACGAGAATTGACGATTAGTTCAGCCATTTATGGGGACAGCTTTAAACTGTGTTGTAGTGTATATAGTGGATATGGTATTTCTTCTCATATGTGTTTTGCACCTGATGACCCCATATCTTCGTGCGATTACCTCACCGGTGACGTCATAAAACGAACTTATCTTCTGGTAATTTGTGTAATTGGGTTAACGGGTAATTTGATTGTAATTGTTAACAGTTTGATGAATTGGGATAAAATGTTCATACAACGGTATAGATTTTATGTCTTAAATCTGGCTTTATCTGATTTGATAACCAGCGTTTATCTCACGTTGATTGTAGGCGCCAGTTTTTATTATCACGACATCTATGTCTTGTATGATTTAGAATGGCGAGACAGCTTCGTGTGTCTTACAGCTGGTGTCTTAGCTACTCTCTCAAGTCAAGCATCAGTCATGTTCACACTCCTTATCTGCATACAACATCTTAGCCTGCGTACGTTCCCTTCTACTGAACACCTGTCTAAAATGCACATCATCGCTTCGGGAATTTCCTTCTGGTTTCTTTGTTTTCTGCCTAGTTTGATCCCAATTTTTAACCCACACTGGCGCTTCTTCTCCTCCAATGCTATGTGTCTTGGTCTACCTTTTTACTCCCACCACCCAACCGGCTGGATTTATTCTTTTTGTTTACACACCATCATAATCCTTATCGAAATTGTAAGTATCTCTATTCTTAAAATAACCTCACTGTTTTTCGTTGATAACAATTCGAACCTCATCTCCCCAGGGGGTGGTGAGTTATACAACATTCCACCCGTGTCTCGTATTATTGCATCTAACATTCTCTGTTGGTTAACGATCAGTGTTACGGGGCTGGCTTCACCATTTGGAGTGACGTTAAGTCCACGGATTATGGGATGGCTGACTGTGTTTGTTTTTCCACTGAGTTCCGCTGTCAATCCAGTTCTATTTATAGCGCACCTTCTTCATCAAAAGTGGGTTGAATTCAAAACAAGAAGGTAATAAATAACATAAGCCTAGATGGTATTTGTCCTTCGTCCTCATTCTTGTTTAGAAAAAAATTGTTTTTAAAATACTATTTGTCATGTTAGACATGGACATAGATAAAATAAGTCTGATATATTTTTTAATATCGTTTAAGATCGTTTAAAAAAAACTTTAAATTTCTGAAAAGTTAAATGTTCAAAAAAAACTTTTTTTTACATATATAAAAACGGTATACCATCCAAACTTTTATATTTTTTCATTATATTTTACTTTTTTTAAATTTTTAATTTGTATATTTCAATATCGTGTTGTGTCGGTTCGTTGTAACTATGACGTATCTCTTCTATTTTTAAATAGATTAAGTTTTTCTGTCGCAATTAAAACGTTGACTTTAATTTTTCAAATTAACATATCAGAATATATCAATTACTTTGTGATTTTACCAACATACTAACATACTAAAAATTAAGGTAAAATCTATAAATCAAACAAAATGTCCACATTTTTTTCTGTTTTTATTGATAATCATGATATTCGATGATTCACCATGTGAAAGAATGATGGTTTAATTTCCTGTCATTTTCGCTCAACTAATTAAAAAGATGGATATATTTTTACATTACATGTTTAATTTACGTGAGTGATTTAAGATGGTATACAACGTGATTGCTTCTTTAAACATAGTTTGTAGTTTTCGCCGCGTTAGCCTAACCGTGTTAGTAAACTCGTGAACCCATAGTTCACGAGTATCGCATTCACGTCCCTAACTTGCAGTCGGTGCGGGGCTCGAACCTGGGCCTTCAGGCGTGTTGAGTTTCCTTCTTTTGTTGGATTTCATTAATAATTTACAATCTTCGAGCCTTTGCTTTCTGGCTTGAATCAGTTCTAGCACTCGCTGTTGTGTATGTGGACTGGCGAAGTGAGCCGAGACCTGAAATATAGAGTTGTCTTAGTGTTTTCTGGGCTCCTAGGAATGATCTCTATTTTTTAATGGACCCGGAGTTTGGTGCTGGTCTCTATAGTTTGTGTTGTCCCCCATATGTTGTGGTGGTCCCAACATTTTGTGGTGGTCCCTATATTTTTTGGTGGTCCCTATATTTTGTGGTGGTCCCTATATTTTGTGGTGGTCCCTATATTTTGTGGTGGTCCCAACATTTTGTGGTGGTCCCTATATTTTGTGGTGGTCCCTATATTTTGTGGTGGTCCCTATATTTTGTGGTGGTCCCTATATTTTGTGGTGGTCCCTATATTTTGTGGTGGTCCCTATATTTTGTGGTGGTCCCTATATTTTGTGGTGGTCCCTATATTTTGTGGTGGTCCCTATATTTCGTGGTGGTCCCTATACTTTGCTGTGGTTCTAAATTGTGTAATACTTCCTATATGTTGATGCAGTCCCATTATTTTTACTCTGGTCAATGTCTACTTTGGTGGTATCTTTATTTTGGGATCGTCTATCTTTTTAGGTGACTTCAATCATCTATTGAAGTCCCATTTACGGAATGTTTTTCTATAAGCTATCTTTTTGGTAGTGCTTATATTATGTTGGTGTCTCATGTTTATCTTTTGTGTGTGTGTGTGGGGGGGAGGGGGGCATATATTTTGAGTTTTTCACTAACTCTTAGTCAGGTTTCAAACGTATGAAGTAATTTCAGTCCATTGGCACCAGTGGTGTAGCGAGGTCGGGTGTCACCCGGTGCGGCACTTAATGGTGTCACACACCAGAGGCGTAGAAACCCTTCCCGGGGACAAACTTTCAAATTTTCGATTTGCACCCCCCACTCAAACTTTCGATTTGCACCCCCCCCCCCCGCAAACTTTCGATTTACACCCCCCCCCCCCCACCTTCAAGTTTTGCTCTATTTATTTTGCTATTTTTTGCCTTGGTGTCACCCTCCTAAATGGTGTCACCCGGTGCGGTCCGCACCCCCGCCCCGCCCATCGCTACGCCTCTGATTGGCACTGTTTCTATAGGGCTGGTAAGTAGGTTACCAACCAGTTCTATGGCTCATGCAGGTTTTATTGAGCTGTAGAACTGGTTGGTGACCTACTTACCAGCCCTATATTGTGTGCTGGCTTTGGACTACATTTCAAATGTCCATTCATCTTACCTTCAGGTGTAGCAGACGACGACATTTCTGAACGAATGTCTCTAAGGCTGCGTCAATTGGGTCGTCGTAATTGTCGATGTCCATCTCAAATTTGACCAGACTTCGGCTGTAGACAACACGGTTTAAAATAGGAGACAGGGTTAAGTCCCTTTTTGTTGGCTAACAGAGTTAATTGCCGACCCTTTTCATAGTTCATCTCTTCATCATCCTTTGCCTTTCGTGCTCAAGACACATGGGGTTGATGAAGTAGAGTTCATCTGCTTCAAAAAATCTCGGTAAATGTAGGGATAGTGTGGTCAGCACTATGCCCAGCCGTGAGACAGGTACCCATCAGAGGTGGGTGGACACATGAACATTCGAACTCGAGGCTTTAGCTCTCTAACCCTAGGCCTCACTGTCTCTCTCATCATATCATACTTAATCACAGACCGTAACTGACCTTCACCCCGATAGGTTATGTAATGCCAGTATACTAAACAATCATGATTTTCTTTGGAAACCCGTCTATTTACAACACCTGGCCACACCGCATATCCACCACCAACACTCCATTCACAAAAGAAATCATTCATTCTGCTACACATTTACATCATTTACCACAACCCCCCCCCCCCCCAAAAAAAAATAACCCGTTACTCTTTTTACTCGGCAAGTCTATGCATCTCCTATGCAAGAAATTACTACGTCAAAGAATTATCTCCAGTCAATTATTCTCCCCCCTCCCCTGATCCCACTCACGATTACAGTCCAGGTCCCATACAAGTTTGTTTTCACATTTTAGTATCCATGAATGAAACAAAAAGAATAATTAGTAATGTTTATATGCATCACATTATGTTTGTTCGAATATTTATCAGCCAGGCCGAATCTGAGGTGTTACAAAATGTGATTGAAACTCATGTATTTACTTTTTTTTTGGGGGGGGGTGGGGAGGGCGGGGGTAGAGGGGGGTAGTGTTTACTTGTGAATTCTATTTTTTTTTTACTTTTCCTCTGGGTTTTTTTAAACTGTTTTTAGTGTAGTGTGTTTCGGCGCCTGTTATCTTCAGTGAATGTTTCTGCTTTTTTTACCACGTGCATACACAAAAACTTGAGTCACACAAAAACTTGAGTCACACAAAAACTTGTGTCACACAAAAACGTGAGTCACACAAAAACTTGAGTCACACAAAAACTTGAGCCACACAAAAACTTGAGTCACACAAAAACTTGAGTCACACAAAAACTTGAGTCACACAAAAACTTGAGTCACACAAAAACTTGAGTCACACAAAAACTTGAGTCACACAAAAACTTGAGTCACACAAAAACTTGAGTCACACAAAAACTTGAGTCACACAAAAACTTGAGTCACACAAAAACTTGAGTCACACAAAAACTTGAGTCACACAAAAACTTGAGTCACACAAAAACTTGAGTCACACAAAAACTTGAGTCACACAAAAACTTGAGTCACACAAAAACTTGAGTCACACAAAAACTTGAGTCACACAAAAACTTGAGTCACACAAAAACTTGAGTCACACAAAAACTTGAGTCACACAAAAACTTGAGTCACACAAAAACTTGAGTCACACAAAAACTTGAGTCACACAAAAACTTGAGTCACACAAAAACTTGAGTCACACAAAAACTTGAGTCACACAAAAACTTGAGTCACACAAAAACTTGAGTCACACAAAAACTTGAGTCACACAAAAACTTGAGTCACAAAAAAACTTGAGTCACACAAAAACTTGAGTCACACAAAAACTTCAGTCACACAAAAACTTGAGTCACACAAAATTTTCAGTCACACAAAATTTTCAGTCACACAAAAACTTGAGTCACACAAAAACTTCAGTCACACAAAAACTTCAGTCACACAAAACCTTCAGTTACACAAAAACTTGAGTCACACAAAAACTTCAGTCACACAAAAACTTGAGTCACACAAAAACTTCAGTCACACAAAAACTTGAGTCACACAAAAACTTGAGTCACACAAAAACTTGAGTCACACAAAAACTTCAGTCACACAAAAACTTCAGTCACACAAAAACTTGAGTCACACAAAATTTTCAGTCACACAAAAACTTCAGTCACACAAAAACTTGAGTCACACAAAAACTTCAGTCACACAAAAACTTGAGTCACACAAAAACTTCAGTCACACAAAAATTTCAGTCACACAAAACCTTCAGTTACACAAAAACTTGAGTCACACAAAAACTTCAGTCACACAAAAACTTGAGTCACACAAAAACTTCAGTCACACAAAAACTTGAGTCACACAAAAAGTTGAGTCACACAAAAACTTCAGACGTACAAAAACTTGTGTCACACAAAACCTTCAGTCACACAAAAACTTGAGTCACACAAAAACTTCAGACGCACAAAAACTTGTGTCACACAAAAACTTCAGTCACACAAAAACTTGAGTCACACCAAAACTTGAGTCACACAAAAACTTCAGTCACACAAAAACTTCAGTCACACAAAATCTTAAGTCACACAAAAACTTCAGTCAAACAAAAACTTGAGTCACACAAAAACTTGAGTCACACAAAAACTTGAGTCACATAAAAACTTGAGTCACACAAAAACTTGAGTCACACAAAAACTTCAGTCACACAAAAACTTCAGTCACACAAAAACTTGAGTCACACAAAAACTTAAGTAACACAAAAACGTGAGTCACACAAAAAGTTGAGTCACACAAAAACTTGAGTCACACAAAAACTTGAGTCACACAAAAACTTGAGCCACACAAAAACTTCAGTCACACAAAAACTTGAGTCACACAAAAACTTGAGTCACACAAAAACTTGAGTCACACAAAAACTTGAGTCACAAAAAAACTTGAGCCACACAAAAACTTGAGTCACACAAAAACTTGAGCCACACAAAAACTTGAGTCACACAAAAACTTGAGCCACACAAAAACTTCAGTCACACAAAAACTTGAGTTACACAAAAACTTGAGTCACACAAAAACTTGAGTCACTCAAAAATTTCAGTCACACAAAAACTTCAGTCACTCAAAAACTCACGCACCACTGACCTGAAGTGCGTCGAGATATGTTGCAGCACAGCCGCCATTTTCAACTCATTCGTGTGGTCGTAATTGTCTCCAATTATCAACCGGATGTTGTGGATAGGTATCACCGGATCCAATATGGCGGGGATGGAGACAGAAGGATCCGAAACAAAGCCGTCAAAACTAAACACAATTTTCAACTTCTGGAATGCGTTCATCTGTATTGAAAAGAAAATTCTCATTCAAAGTTAGATGTTACATATTGACTAATGCAGCCATTGCTAATTGATATGTCTTACATTTTAAATATACCCGTAAGATGAATAAAAGGTTTTCTTGTAAGATTGGTATAATCGATATAGGAGATATTTTTGATACTGGGTGTGGTAAGTTCCCTTTCAAACCGGAAAGTCTACCTGGCAAATGAAGTAGAGTTCACTTATTTCTGTGACCTCGGCATATACAGGGATAATGTGGTCACTATATGACCAGCCGCCTTTACTTACCCTAACGTGAGTTAGGTACCCATCAGAGCTGGTTGGACTCAGGGACGGTCTTCTGCCTTGAACCGGGAATCGAACTCGAGACCTACGGGTTAGCAGTCCAGCTGCGTGGATAGGGGGTAAACGGTGAGGAAGAGGGGGTAATGGCGTGGTTTAATGAAGTAGAACCTCGATAGCTAGCAACTAGAGGTGAGTTTATTTCCAAAAGCACTCTTAAAAATCTCCAAGAAAACACATCAATAACATATTATAAAATACATGTAATGAAACACAACGCGATTTACTCACCAAGTTTAACCAAGCGCTTTTTGAGATTATATTTGGAAGAGGATAAAGAATTGTTACACCGATTTTCAGGGTTTCAAGTTTTGCATTGGAAGCGGACAGCGAGTTAAGCAGCCCGTAGGTCAGAAGAAAGTAGTCGATCCCAAGTTTCCTCAAGCAGTTAAGAGAAAGGACCCCGTCGATCAGAGAGATAAAGCTACGCGGCAGAACGGTAATCGCAATGAAGGACGGCTGAAAAAATCCTTCAATCATTAGAGATTGCAGCGTTTCCTTAGACGATAAGAGCACAGTGGTCACGATTTTGACGGCCTCAACGACTCCACACTGTAGAAAGGGCATCCCAAAATATTCTAGGTGGTCAAATTTGGACAGCTGGCGAGTCAGAATGCGAACGATACTGGAAACAGTGTTCGCTCTCGCGTGACGTAGCCGCAGGTCGGTTATTTTTAACGACGTCAGATGTGTTGGATGTAAGAGAGGCAAAATTTTCTTGAAGCAGACGACCACATCCATGCAGTTGATCTGGTTTCTACGGTTCTGGCAGCTGATCACCAACTTCCGGAAACGTTTTCCGTATATCTTAGCGTACGAGTAAGCGTTTTTCCTAATCCCAGACTGTCGCATGCAAGACAGCTTTAAGAGCATGTTCTTCCACAACCGCGGCGTACCGTGGATCAAATCCCGCCAAGACTTACACACAGCTGCTGCTCTTAACAGATCGTAGCTGTCGAGAAGGCTGAAAATATTTATCAAGATGTCTTGAGGCACCCGGTCCGGCAGATACGCGACCTTTGAAGGAGTATTTAATTTTAGATCGTACCTCTCTTTGGTCTGCCCGAACTCCGGCATGGTTGTAGCACTAGTGATGACGGTCTTTCTAAATCTTTTCACGCTGCTTTGATCCATAACAGAGGTGGGACTTGACAGTAAGAAAGGCGATAGAAGCAAAACTTTTAAGATAAGAATCCCCTCACTGTTTGATTTAGCTTGACTCGATGAACGCTTACAAAGTTGCTGCCTTCTCTTGTATGGTGCAAACCCGTGCAGAAAGGTGTTTTGTGTAAAAATTTTACTGGAGCGTATGCATTTTATTTTATTTCGTTTATATCAGTAAAATAATGTTGTGATATAAAGCCTCGGCAATTATTATACGTATCATACATTTAAAACATTCTGCTCCTAAGAGCTATTTTGATAGATGAAATAAGAGTTTTAAATTTTCAATCCCTACATAACTGTTTTGATTACACCTAACACTTTTTTTGTTTGTTAAAATTTTTCTTATTTCAATCGGTAAAAACTAGTTATTTTAAGAAATAAGTCCTTATTACAGATATATTTATTGTGTGCTTTTGTTATATGTTTCATATTCGCATAATTAATTTAATGTCGTATACATTATTATTGTAAAACAAAGTAATCGACAGCTTTTGTCTTCAACTAATACTACTAATATTAAAAACTGTCATGTACATCATTATTTCAGTTTAGATGTTTCGGTTTATTTTTTTTTATTATTATTTTACTCTTAAATATATTAAGATAAATAACATGGAAGCAAATTTAGTTTTTCATTAACGACAGTCAAACCTCTTGATTTAATTATTGTACAAAGTAAAATAAACATTTATTTATTTATTTGGTTTATTTAAAGTCATTGAATACTAATAGCGTTCTGGATTGACAGAATAGCTAACGTATACAATTAAATAAGTGATTTATCGTGATAAATTCAAGCAGTTTCTAAACGCGAAAGACATTTGTGCATGGAAACAGCGTTGTGAATAAGAAATAAATCTGCGATACTTTCAATAGAATATAGTTCATATACAACACTTTTTCGTAGTTTTTCTCTGCAGTTGCTATGGTACGTTTGTAGTTAAACACAATAAAGGTTACGTACCTGATAGAACCTTTTAATAAAAGACACTGATTTACATTCATGTTGACTTTTTATATTATACGTAATTAAAACATCATATATCATCTTTCAAACTGGTTTAAAATTGTTGACTTTTTATATCATCTAAGGCTTTCAATCTACAGCTAGATTGAAATAAGATTTAAGTTCTCGGATATGAAAATGCAGTTGTATTCATTTAAAAGTAGAACAAAGAACATTCTATAGACAAGTCTTTTAGGCATACGAATAGCCTTACGAGATTACATATTGAATTTTAAATGTGGTGAATACATTATCCATTTAAACGATTAATAGTATACACCAGAGGACTTAAAATGAAAACAAGAACACATTCAGAAACATAAGCTTTGGTAATAATGTATTTTCATATAATAACTGCAGCTAGACACAAAACTGTGTGAAAATTTTGTAAAAATATTGCCTGAACATCGAGTTGAGTTTTAAATAAATAAAAAAATTACCGGTTGTTATGAAAGTACCGAAGAACACCACCATCTCCCACGTGAGTGTGTTCAAGTTTTGGTACGTGATGTACTCTGCTTCACCTACGATGTAATAAATCATGAAAGCTATCAGTCTCGGCATGTTGCAAACTATCTGTAGTATAGATAACATCAAGACTACTTTGACAAGTTTTCTTTCAGAGTATGTCAAGGTTGAAGCCACTTTATTAACATCAGCCTTAACCTGCAAGGGTTGTATCGAGCTATTTTTAGACATACTCGCACGCACCTTTGAACTTTGCCTTAGCCCGTACACCATCAAAATAGACGACAACAGCAACACAACCTGGCATATCACAAACAAAACCAGGCCGCTGAGAATGTATTCGATTACCACCCAGATTGTGCTCTCTGTGACGTCAGAGTACACAAGCGTCCATTGGCTTTTCCCAGCAGACGTAGAATTGACCTCAACTTCCGTCAAAACTTGTCTTATGCCGTACAACATATGCAGGTTTGTCGTTATAGCAACAAGGTAAATAATCACTATGGTAACCACCGACCGCCGGATGGTAAAAATAGCCTTGACCTTGAAAGGAAACAAAACGCAGCAACATTTCTCGACAGACATGAAGGCGGTGACCCAGCACGATGCTAAAAATAGAATATACGAGATGTCCTCGAGGACGTAGAGACTGAACCCGGGGAGATCAAACCCGTTCTCTGGCTCCAGCTCGCTGGCTAAGTGGCACAAGGAGGCAGCGAACAGGAGAACGCTTATAGCCACGTCACCGAGTGACGTCACAAAGATGGCGACCCTCATGCTGTTGTTTAGACCGAGTCTCACGAAGATAAAAACGTTGAAATAATTTGTTATAATGCCGCCCAGGTAAAGAAATCCTCGAAAAAAAATCGTGATAATTATCTGGAAATATCTCAGTCCTTCGTCTGATAGAAGGTACTCTTTTATGTTGGAAATAAAATTATCCACTTCCTCATATTCACAAACTGATGAATTCATGTTTGCGATTTATTTTTAAATGTTATTTTAAATGACAAAATATCCAAAATAATTTAAGCTAAAAATGTCATTTAAATTGATAAAACTTTCTCCTGAGAAAATATCTTTAAAATTAACGACAACGAATGTTTGGATAACAGTTAACACTTCCTTGTTGTAGGACTATTTGTGGCGAATTCCATTCTCTCAAACCGTTTAAATTATGGTTGAAATTTTTTGAAGTCTTATTCTATTGAAAAAAAAAACAAGACTGAAATCTTTAAAAGCTATCAGACGATAGAATAACAGCTAACATTCTCTTATTATTGGACAAATCGTCGAACACAATGCTTTGAATCGTAGTTAGTCTTTTCTTTTGTTTTATAACTACCGAAGCCACAAACTTAAATTAGGCTCGATCCCATTTCCTAATCTCTCCCAGCTAGATAAGTCTAGTCTGACCGCCACAATTAAAACCGAACAGGTAATCTCAGCCAAGGAGTGATCAAATATCGTTAAGTATTTTATACGCGAAGAGAATATTGACGTCATAATTTTAAATATAAGATCAACGCCCGTTAAACAATACTCTTTTATTTTAGATCAAAGTGTCGTCTATTAATTCTGTAACGCGGTATTAAATGGCGTTCCGTTTACTTACTGAAAAAATTGATCGACCATAACTACAGTGTTAAACAACTTAAATTTTAGTTAATTGGTTTGTGTTTCTTTTAACTTAGGCCTACGCAGTCAGGGAATTTTTATAAAAACAAATAGTTCGTAATTATATATCAATAAGGACAGACACATTCATTTCCTTTATGAAAAGAATCAATTTACAACGTAAATGTTCACTCTTATTTGTTGTCTACTGGGTTCACTAATTTTATAAATTATAAGGGAGGTAATAATATAGGCTTACGAGAAAACTTTGATAGAGGTTAGAGTTAACTTTTTCGCTGGAAATAAATAGGTTCTGAAATTTAGATATTAAAATTATAAACAATTATAAAAATATAGACTATTAATTGGAAGAGTTTTAAACAACTGGTATTCCAGTGAAATTAGTTTAAGAGAAGTAATTTAAATAATTTATTTAGACCTTCAGTATTTTAACTAGTCTGGTATTACATACTAGCGTAAGATTTTATTTCTCTCAACAACATAATCAAAATGTTATAATTATGTTTTATTACTAAGATATTATCTCCCATAATCTTAATGTGCGTAGCGGGGGGGGGGGGGGGTAGAGTTATGGAGGGGAGGTTGCTTTACCATTTTTTTTTCTAAACACGCTGTTCAAATTGACTAAGGTAAAAATACGGTCATGTATGCGTTTGTTTATGAATTGTTATGAAATGGCAAGTAAATATGTCAGATACATCTTTTTTTATTTTACTAATTAATAAAATATAATTACATAAATCACGGTGATTGTACGATTGTACTAATGTGTATTCCTGTTAGGTTTATTTCTTTATAATAAAGATCTAAATATTCACACGTCTATTGATTTGTTTGTCATTCTGTAATACCTTACATTTTGTTTTTAAATACTATCAGATACCGTCAGTGACTTTAGAAGAAAAAAAAACTACTGTGTTAATTAAATAGAATACACAACGAAGATTATAGCTTAGAAAAATACTGTTCAACATTAAGAGGAGAGGAAGCTAATGACCCAGCTAGTAAGAAAGGTTGAAGTTCTTGGCTAGTCATTACTTTTGTGATATTAGAAATGTAACCAGTGACCTGTTTGATAGTAGTAATGCATAAGAAAGTATGTGGAAAATTGTTTTATAGGTGCCTAATGAGTAGAACTAATACAACAGACATAATTGTGAACTAATGTATCTAAATACTAGTCACATTTCTGCGATTATTTCGTTGATCAGTTGAATAAATGAGTTGAACTAATACAACTGACATAACTGTGACTGAAGTATCTAAATACTAGTCATGAGTTGAACTAATACAACAGACATAACTGTGACTGAAGTATCTAAATACTAGTCATGAGTTGAACTAATACAACAGACATAACTGTGACTGAAGTATCTAAATACTAGTCATGAGTTGAACTAATACAACAGACAGAATTGTGAACTGAAGTATCTAAATACTAGTCATGAGTTGAACTAATACAACAGACAGAATTGTGAACTGAAGTATCTAAATACTAGTCATGAGTTGAACTAATACAACAGACAGAATTGTGAACTGAAGTATCTAAATACTAGTCATGAGTTGAACTAATACAACAGACAGAATTGTGAACTGAAGTATCTAAATACTAGTCATGAGTTGAACTAATACAACAGACAGAATTGTGAACTGAAGTATCTAAATACTAGTCATGAGTTGAACTAATACAACAGACAGAATTGTGAACTGAAGTATCTAAATACTAGTCATGAGTTGAACTAATACAACAGACAGAATTGTGAACTGAAGTATCTAAATACTAGTCATGAGTTGAACTAATACAACAGACAGAATTGTGAACTGAAGTATCTAAATACTGGTCACGCTGCTACGAATTTTGTCGTTGATCATTTGAATATATAAGCAAAAAAAAGAACATTTGAAAACCGATCCTCTTTTGAATTTTTGCAC